AAGCTAGCAATCTAGCAACATTTTGAAAAATGTCTAGCAACTGGGTAAAGCTAGCAGTTGGCAAAACTCGACTAAAAGTAGCAAAATTGCAGTAAATGTCGTGATAATGATATTGTTTTATACCCAGAATCCCTCTAATACCAAATAACTTTTCTTTCAGTTTTAAGTAAAGTAAAGTTGCAGTCTATTTACGTCCCACTGCTGGGCTCAGGCCTCCTCTCATTTCTGAGAGGGTTTTAGGGCAAGGAAATGTCCACCGCGCTGCCCCAATACGTGTTGGCGAACTTCACATGTCATCGAAATATTTTTTTTATTTCTCAGACATGCAGGTTTCCTTACGATGTTTTCCTTCACCGCCGAGCACGTGGTAAATCAGCACTTAAAATTGCAATTAACAATTTCATTGGTCGAACTGGTTCAATTGGATCGAACCCGGGTTGCTCGAGTACTGTGAAGCTTACAGCGAGCGCTAACCATCTGAGTTACCACGGCTCAGGCTTCAATTTTAAGATAGGGATAATAACATCGATGTTGGCATCGCTAGCTCAACATCGATGTTCGATGTTTAGGCTACTCAAAACATCGATGTTGACCATTATCGATGGTTTTTGTATATGTGTAGATACTTACACATTGTTTCAAAATTATGTGGGTATACACAACAAGTGAAAAGTAACAATTAACTTGAATATCAATTTACGTAGAATAGTTATTATGCGACAACCGACAACGACACTACAAAATAAAGCAAAAGCAGTGACCATTGTGACATTACAGGAGACACTTGACAATTAAGTTTGACTCACCATACTGACATTTTTTTAGATTAACGATGCGTTCAGAAATTCTGAATTATTCAAAATTTTTAATCTTCAGAGCAGATGCAAGATTTAGTTGATATTGATTTCGCGAGTTCGCATTGTTTGCAAGTTCCCAATTATCAATTATGGGTTCATTGACTTCGATGTTTCGATGTTTGACATATGTCAACATCGATGTTAAAACATCGAAGTTTTAATTTTTAACATCGATGATCATCTAACATCCCTATTTTAAGTGTGTTTCCCACTCAGCGTGTGTTATGCGACGATCGTAAATAAAGCGCAAGGTCAAACTTTACGCGTCAGTACTGATTGTTTTGCACATGGCCAGCTCTATGTTGCTTTTTCTCGCGTTAGTAGTCCCCGTAACATTTTCTGTACGCCCCGGCTAAGTCTACTTATATCGTCGTTTACACAGAAGCTCTATCATATACGGCTTAGAACTTTGAGAATATCGATTTATTTTGTTACCACTTATTCATACAGTAATGATATAAATCGTTTAATATTCTCTCACCCTAAACGTCAAATTCTTTAAGTAAAACCTATATTCGCGAGCTACGCCGCGGGCACAGCTAGTAACATAATAAAGTAGTTATAGATGTATTGGTACACATAGAAATAACGGTACGACTTTCCATTGACGCCAGTCGAGTTTGGTGTTGATACGTATTTTTACAGAAAGATTATATTTTTATAAGCACACACACAAAGTTTCAATATGCGGAAACACGCACTTATTGAGAAAAAAATATTGTAAATCAAATAATTTTGCAATATTTAGTCAATTCCTACCGTGAAACTGACGCCATTTTTATTATTATTGTCAGTAGGGATGTCGATTCTTTCCGAAAAAGATCGATTTTTTAAATAGATTCGAATTGTAAGCTGATGTATCGATTCCCAAAAATCGATTTCTAAAATATCGATATTTTTTTCATGTTTGCATTTATACTGTAAATATAAATCCATTTTATGAGAAAAAATCCCCTTCATCATAAAAAAAATAAGGGGACTGATTCAGAAGGATTTCTGTATCTATTTTGAAACTGCTACGTCTCCGGCGCTGCGGGAAGAGCAGCGTCTACGCCTTAGCGTAACAAATCGCAGGCATCCCTCCTCGCCTCCGCACGATTTGTTACAGCAGGCGGAGGCTGCTCCCCCTACGCGCCTCCGGCTCTATAAAACCACTCTAGGGGTAGGACAGACTCGTACCAGGTGGAGTCGGGGTCAATCAATTCGGTTCTTTGACATAAGTTGAACCTAACCTATTTTATTTGTTATCTGCCCTAATAGGTACTGTTAAATAAAACAAATTTCAATAAGAGATCATTTATCAGGGTATCTTTCTTGTTTTTCATAAAATGGGTTTATATTTACATTATAAATAGAAACATTAAAAAAATATAGATATTTTAGAAATCGATTTTTTGTGAACCGATACTTCAGCTTACGATTTGAATCGATTTAAAAATCGACCTTTTTCGGAAAGAATCGACATCCCTATTGACGTCGACAATGACATTACAAAATGGCGCCAGTTTTACAGTAGAATTAGATATAAACATTGCAAGAATAATTGATTTTCAATAATTTTTTTCTCAAAAATTACGCGTTTACGCATGTTGAAACTTTGTGTGTGTGCTTATAATAGTGTAACTTTTCTGTAAAAATACGTATCAACACCCAACTCGACTGACGTCAATGAAAAGCTAAGCCTTGCACTCTTCTTCCAAGCATTTTTTTAGCACCTCAGTAGTATATTATTATCTAATTTAATTTTTTCAGATGTGAATTATGGGCGAAGTACTGTTTTCCTAATGACTCTTGGTGGTCACCAGAATTTCAAAACAATCTAGGGGTGTCCACTTTGAAAATACATCGATGTTTTTTTTCGATGTAATGCATCGAGACTGTGCATCGATATATTTCGATGCATCGGTTAGAAACATCGATGTTTTTGCAACATCGAGTACTTTTTATGACTTTACATTATAAATCTGTAGTCAACTTCCTGACATCCCCATTCAAACAATCGACAATTTTGAATGATCTACTCTTACATCGGCACTGTCTTTGTCCGCAGGCGTTGTGTGTGAGTGTGTGTATGTGAGTGTTCAAGGATGTAAGACACAATGCCTTAAGGCATTCTCTCCCAGTGTATTATATATACTATTTATATTTGTATGTATTTATTTTATATATTAGTAAAATGTATATATATCTTAGTTATTTATTTTTTATTTTGTTTTTATTCTATTCTGCTACACATTTTCAGTTCGCCCTTTGTATTATTTTATATTAAGGAATGTAATAAATAATAAATGAATTATTATTAATGGTCATTAGTCATTGTACCTACTACTAAATAAACGGCGGTTCTAGAACAAAATTCACGAAAAATGTGTCCCGAGTCAACCTATAAAAACGTATTATTTATATATATTCTTACTTGAGACAATTTAGCAGCCTTTCAACTACAAACAGAAGCTGTTTTCATCTTATGCAGCTTCTAGCGAAAATTATCGGATTGATTTTTTGTTTTTACAATTAATGTGAATTTAATTTAAATACTACGTACGTTGTGTCTAAGCAAAATTTTACTTTTAAATTATTAAAATAGTCCTTATCGAAAATATATATAGATATAAATAGTTTTTCTCGTTTTGTGATACAGTAATTTTGGAGTGTATTATCAATCGACAAAACGAAGACTGGCGCGCAATTGCAACTCTCTTTGCATTTTGGAACTCTTTTGACTCGGACACTTGAGAGCAGATCCGAGGTCCATTTAGTAGTAGGTCAATGTTTACGATATTATTTTAAATGATTTTAATAGAAAGAAAGCATGCATCACAATAAAAATACTTACATATGGAATATAACTCCATCTTTTGTAAATTTTAAGTATTTTGACTGCTTTATGATCGCACCGATCGGTATTTTTTGAAGAGCACTTACTTCGGCGGAAACGATTCATGTAATAATAAAATCGATTTCTTAAGCAGTTTTTATAAACGCACAAGCTTTTAAATCCAATACCTTGGCAGAGGGGAATAATTATGCGAGATGAGTCTGAGGTTAAATGGTCTTAAGGCGGCTATCACTTGCCTGCCGCAAGGGCAATCTAGGGTGTAGGAGTGGGGATGACCCTTAATTGCCTCCTTAATTGTGATGTGTGTATGCAAGCAGGGGCAATTTACTAAGTCGGCCCTGCGGCAGAGCGACATGGGCGCAAGATCTTCCTTGCTCCCTAGATCATAGCTACCACGCCACATGGGGCAATTTCAAACAGTTCGTAAGCGACTTTCGCATGCAGCACACGTCATAATGAATACCAATAAAATATGAAATTTGGACACTGGTGATAGAAGTGTATAAAGAGGCGGCTTCTTCACCCAGTATCTCCTTTTTGTCTTTTTTTTTGCGGTAGCACCGCAGAAAGAACGTTATCTGAACGTCGTAACGTTTTTAAACGTGGTAGAGTCATACTGCAGCTTTTAAAGACTGTGTTATTGGTGTAATTATTAATTAATTAGTTGTTTTATCAATAAATATGGGTGTCTATGGGCCACAGTATCCACTTAACGTCAGGTGGACTGTGCTCATTTGTCACCCTTATTCTATATAAAAAGAGCCATTCCTATATTTACCGATTCATTTATATTTTGATAAAACTAGCGCCATTCTCAACGCGTGTGTCCAGCGAGACGTACACTCTCACATAGAATGGCAGGCATGTGTGTAGAGACAGTTCTGATATTGCCCCGATCGCTGTTCGTCCTAGATTGCCCTGCGGCACGAAAGTGAGAAGCCGCCTTAAGACCGAGACAGACCAGACGATTTTCTTTAATACACAACCAGCCAATCTCAATTTCTTGATTCCGCTAATGGACTGACAGCCGCTAACTAGCGTCACCAACAGGTTTATACGAGTATTATAACTTCTAAATCAGAGCATGTTTTAGTTTTTCTGATTTAGAAGTTATAATATTAATAGTGATAGATAAGTATACCTGTTTACAATTGACTGGTTATCATTGATTCGATGTTTTATGAAAATACATCGATACATCGAGTATATCAATAGCTTTCCAAAACATCGGATCGGTTCGATGCATCGTATTGTAAACATCGAGTGAATTCGATGCATCGATGTATATCGAATATCCCTAAAACAATCTTCATTCTAGGCATTTAATGTTGTGCACTAAACATTTTAAGAAATCATCATTCATTGATAATTTTGGAAAGCGGCTAGTCAAATCTGCAGTACCTGATGAGGAATGTGATAAGGTTAGTTAATCTTTCTTTTGTTAATATCTAAGGTACGTTAGGGTAATACCGGACGGATTTTCGAATAGTTGGAAGAGTCTGCCAAAAACTTTAATTTCTCGACATTCGTATACGTCAGATTTATGGAACCTGGAGCAAACCGTTAATCGTTAAACGTAGTTTAGCTCTGAGAATCTTTTGCTTGTGTAAACTCAACGGTTTCTGCTTTAAAGGTGTGCGAAAACTAGACATACTTTTTTATATGCCTAATGAAAAATTGGCCATTAAGGGGTAAGATCGGACTTAAATTTAAAACCACTTCTACTGCTTAGAGAAAAAAGTTTATAAAAGAGATTTGTCCTATATTTAACGCTCAAAAACATATTTCAATATGATCTAAAAATTACTAGAAACATAAATGTTCCAAACGATTTTCTCTTTTTTTGTTTTTTGCCATCCGATCTTATCCCTGATATAAAGAAATTGTAATTTTATGTTTCTCAAACTTTGTTATGACATAAGATGGAATTACTCAATATAAGAGAAAGATCGGATGCATTTGATTTTATATGGGAAAAAAAATAACAGTAAGGACTGGCGAAATGCCCTGGGATAATGCAGGAGTTAAGGAAGATACTCGTATAAATATTTTAACAAAGCGGCATTTATTATTATAAATTATTTTTTAAATAATTATTATAAATTACATTTTGATTTGTAATAGAGGATAGATATAGATATCTATGGGCCGCAGTAATCACTTAACATCAGGTGGACTGTGTGCTCCTTTGTCACCCTTATCCTATAAAAAAAATGTATTTTAATGTGTACTTAAAAGTAATAAAACCATCGTATTGTTTTATTACTTTTAAATATACAGACTTGCTAACGAGACTGAGTCCCATAGTCACTTGAGTAATCAACGAAAAAATATACACGACCAATGAAAGTTTAACAACCACTGCCATATTTGTAACAGGCAAAGATCGGATAATATTCATCCGATCTTCACTCACGAGGGGAAACATCGGATCTCGGCCTACAGCGATCTTACCCCTGCATGGACCAGCTTTATTTAGCTATAACTTCATAAAAATTAGTATCCACACAAAATAATAACAAAAGAAGCCATATTCTCGCTAAAAATCGTAAATAAAAGTGATAGGGAAAGATCGGATGGACAAAAATAATACAAAAATTACATTGTTTTATAAAATGCCACGCAGCACAGGTCCCACTTGCCGGAGTGACTGGGGCGAACTGAGGGTCGGGGCAGGATGAAATGGCGTCGTGTAGCATATTGTTACCTTTTCAAAATATAGCATAATTCGCCGGGAATTTGAATCCTACGGTCTTGCCCCATCACCGATCTTACCCCAACGTACCTTACATTTTTTTCTTTTGTGTGGCTTTTCTCATACTACAGTGAAAATATTATCTAGTTAACAAACGGTGGTAACAGATTGAGTGGTGATTTATAAGGGTATGCGACGTAACCTACCATTACTTCTCAACCATAAAAAAACAAAAGTTATAAACTTTAAAAAAATATGTTATTTTTTATTTTAAAAAAAAACCTTATCCATACTAGGATTTTCTCCTGTATTGTGGAGGCAGTTTACAAACATAAATTGGATAAGGACAAACATCCCCCGGCACAATTATTTATAGGCCATACAAATACTTATTCTGTGCAGCATTCGAACCTGTGACCTTTAGTGCCGCAACTCAATGCTAGCCACTGCACCGCCAGCTGTCAATGTTGTTGAAATGACATGATTATAATTTAGTTACTTACAGAATATATTTACAAATAAAAGAAATTGTTAATATAGTGTCTTAAAAATAGGATGGTGGTGGTAATGGGTCAAAGCAACATTCATTAATAAAAACAAGTTGTATTTAATGTTTATAAATTTATAAGGCTGTTTGAAATTTATAGATTGGTTGACCAATGCTGGGATACATGATATAAATAATGATTTGATAATCTCTAATTTTCAGATCACATTACCTGACCTTAATTTGGAACAAAGGAATGTCATTCAACATATTGCAGGTCCATCAACTAATAAACAACCACTGTCTGAAAATATTCGGAAGACTATAACTGTTCCAAATGTATTTGAGCCTGTTGCGGGTCCGTTAATATTTATACAACCCTTGTATGAGAATGTGAATTATAAGACCATTCCTGACAAAACTAGTGCTATTCCTCAAGTAACTGAGAATATCAACCCTGTTGCTGCTGCAAATCCATCCATGACAAACAAAAAGGATAAAGATATGTTGATAAAAATTAAATATCATCTAAGAAAAATTAACAGGCTTCAAAAAACTGTAAAGCATCTAAAGAATGAAGCATTTCTCAAAATATTGAGCAAAAATGATTCAGTAAATGAAATATTAAAATGTAAAATATCCCCCTCTTTTGCATTATTTTTGCAAGGAGAATTGCAAAACTATAAAAAAAATCAAAAGGTCGAAGATGGAACATGGACTCCAAAATAATAGCACTAAGGCTGAATAAAAGGTCACCTAGGTGTTACAATTTATTAAGAAGGATAATTTGCCTACCAACACCTAGTTCATTAAAAGCGTTATTAAGCAAGTTTTACATGAAAGTTACCAACTTTGACCAAATTTTTAATGTTTTGAAAAAAACAATAAAGCAACAGACTCCCTCAGACAATGAGTATATCCTTATGTTTGACGAGATGTCAATAAAAAAGAATTTGTTTTACAACAAAAAGGAGGACATAATTGAGGGTTATCAAGACCATACATTGCAGGGCAGGTCACCACAAATGGCAACACATGCCCTCGTGTTCATGATTGGCAGAATCCGTAAAAAGCTGAAACAACCAATTGCTTATTATTTTTCTAGTGGATCTGTGACTGCAGATAGGCTGTCAGTTCTTATAAAGGAGGTGAGCATTATGATCTTTTATTTGTTATTATGTCAATATATGTAGTAGTACTTTTTTACCATATTAATTTACCCTTTTATCATTCTAGGTCCTGCAACATTGTTTTGATGCTGGAATTAATATTTCAGCTACAGTGTGTGATATGGATGATGTGAATAAGAGAGCTTTAAGTATCTTGGGAGCATCTGTAGAACAGCCATATATTCTGCTAAGTAATCGAGAAGTGGTTACAATTTTTGATACTCCGCATTTGCTCAAATGCTTTAGAAATATGTTTTTAAAATATGACATTAAATGTCCAACAAATATAAAATCAAATGATCAATTTGGATTTGGTAAGATATTTTGTTTTATTACAATCATAATATTATACATATTTCCAATTTACTGGATATTTACACAAATTTTTTTTACAGGTGTTGCTAAATGGAGCCATATAAAGGAGTTTTATGAAACAGATAACACCAATCCCAATTTTGTTTTTGCACCTTGCTTAAAACAAGAGCATTTAAATCCAAATACGAAGCAGAAGATGAAGGTGAAGCTAGCTGCACAAGTGTTAAGCCACTCAGTTGCTGCAGGAATGTATGCTAAAATTTTACAAGGTAAATTAAATTTATAATTTAAAGTATAATATTTAAACATATGTCCACCTATTAAAATAATTATTAACTTAAAAAGGAACTAGGCTCTCCCAAGTACAAATTATTGTTTATTGTGTGATATGTGATATTTTTTTTGAGTTGTCTTGTAACATACTTTAAATCATATTTCTTTAATCCTAATAGTAAGATCTTAAATTATGTGTTGTTTACAGGGGAACTCTCTTCAGAGGTCGTCACTACAGCTAATGTTATTGCAAATATGGACAAGCTGTTTGATTGTGTCAACGCATGCACACCAGACCTAAGAAGGGGGAAACCATTTTCGACAAACATGACAAATAATACACCACATCTCACACATTTCACTTTAATGAACAAATTTTTTAAAGAAATGACGTTTTTGGGATGCAAACGAGTTCCTCCATCCCAAGAAGGTTGGATATGGTCCATCAATGGAATAGAACGAATCTGCAGTCAATAAGAATAATATAACGAAAATAATTTCTACAAATGTAATATTATTGGTGGCATCTGTAATATAATCAGGTTATTGGAGTTTAGACATAATATTGCAAAGCTATTGCCTTGTTTGTAGAATGTGAAGGTAAATAATGTTTTCTTGTTAGAAAAAAGTGTTTATATTAGATTGTCTAATCTTTTTTATATAAAACCAATTTACCTTTACTTTCCATTTTGCTTAAATGTCATGTTACATATGCCGTTTTCTTAATAGGTGAAGTGATGAAGTAATTAGTTATAAACTAATAATCGTTGACACGTGTTTTAGCGAAGTTACGAGAATGCTTATTTCTTATACTTCGCTAAAACACGCCTACCTCTTAAAAATAGACTATTCTGCTTTACATAACTACTTAACTATTAAATCGATATTTAGTTAAGAGCTGTTGAGAACTGTTTACATGCATAAAGTTAAAAAAATAGTTAATTACTTCGTCACTTACGTCCATCAATGTACCAACGGTTTTTCTATGTACCAATGTAGACAAGTATGTAATGTAAATAAAAATTATGTATTTCAAAAACCACTTTTACTTGAAAAATAGTTCCTTTTTTATATTAAAATGATTGCTAATCGTTTCAAAAGTGGTTTATGAATGTAAAGTACCATAATTTACAAATAACTTTGTGCTTTTGTTTTCGTTTTAATTTAGCAATATATATCATTGAAACGAAAAACTACAAGCTATATCTATCTATATGGTATTTTACATTCCTAAGACATTTTTGAAACGAAACAACCAACAAGCCAACTAAAAAAAATCACGTGTCAAAATTCCCGCGCAAAAAAGTTTTAGAGGGCACGACAGAGATGGCGTGTATTATAGGTGCCATTTTCTTTGTTTGAAGTTGACATTCTTCCCGCCTAAGGGTATTAGAGTTCTGTAATATTTATACAGCCCAACCAGATGAGTAAACTATATAGATGCCCCAAGTAATAATAATATTAATAATATTTCATAAAACTTTAAAATGAATCAAGATAGTAGTTAGTAAACTACTTCTCGATTTAAAAAAAGTCCTAACTCCGTATAGGAGTCCTGCCAAGCGTGACGATTATAGGCGTCTTAAATTTTTACACGGCAATGTGTTAATAGTATTAAAACTATCACTTCATAGCGCGACTTAAAATACTACAGCGACATCTATTAACACGTTTGCAACATATTATGTCATTGATAAAATATAAGTTATAGCGAAGTGCTTGTTTAGAATAAAACACAAGTAATTTGCTAACGTATATGCTTCGTTTAATGTTCGGACAACCGACTGAATGTTTCTCGTCTTACCCACTATGGGAGAACATTACAATAAGCTAAATTGTGATTAAGAAATTATTGTATATTATAATTTATTAATGATTTTATTTTTGTTATGTTTAACGTTTATAAAATTTCTGATGTTAGTAACAATAGTGGATTGTGCATGATTTAATTTAAATGATTATATAATACTAAATTCTGATATATTTATTGATCTCTTAATTTTTGTATTCAATTTAATTCACTGCATATGTTTACTTGTGTCTATTTTTTATGAAATGTGTGTAACACCTGTAATTAAGTCAACACTTAGTTTTTATGATTTTTTGCAAAAATATTATGCTTTTGTTAGTGTATGTCTAGTTGGTGTTAAATAAATAAAAAATAATGACGTGCAGTTCTTTCAATATGAATTTAATCGTGTTTCATACCAAAGCCAGCATCATTTTCTGTACAGAACCCGGGGAAAATGTTGGTCAAGGCACTGTGAATAAAGCAGGTGATAAAAATGGTACACTCATAACCAGAGGCGGATTAAATTTCGATGGCGCCGTAGGCTGGCACCTCATCGGCGCCCCTCTAGCGGCCATATTTATAGCTACTTATTTTGTAAATAAACTATATTATAATTTACAACATAGTATAATAGTTATAAAATACTTAGGACACAGGTAACCTTAACAGGTGGGCGTGAATTAAAAATGTGATGAGTGAGGAAGAGTGATGTAGAAGTAATCAAATAGACGATGTTTTTTTCATTTTAAACTTACTCGCGCGTTCCCTTTTAATCTCGCGCCCATGCCTAGGCATGTGCCTAATTTGCCTTAGGATAATCTGCCACTGCCCATAACTCTTCAATTCAATTTCTCTCAAAAATTGTTACTGCAAATGGTCTTATAGAAAAAACTATTCCGCAGTGACGATATACAGCAGCACTTTATCATGCTTTTGGAAACCACTCCAGTTGTAAACAATACTTCTGTGAAAAATGGTGATTAAGAGCAGACAAAATCTCTCTTTTAAAATTTCGGCCGAGTTGTAAGTAGAAGGCCAAATACGCCATGTGCCAATTTATTTAAATATATTTTATATGGATTTATCTTGACTATGTTTCATCAATTTACCATTGATAAAAATGAGAACAGCAATTTCACTCAATTGTGCTTACAAGAAACACTATCAGTTGAATCTTGCAGCTTGTTCATTATTTTTATTATAGGTACCTAAATACCCATAAATATATATTATTAATAAATCATTGCCACAATATTTCATATAATTTTTTATTCTGCCCCATTTAAAACATTCTAAACTCTAAAGAAAATGTGGCGTATGAAATGACTGACAATCACTAGAACATATTTTATCTTGGTACAAAGATGTTTTACGTTTTCGTGTCCCTTTATGTATCTGCAACGAATACGAATATTGGTACACGATACAAAAGTAAAAAATAGAAAAATACAGGTTCTGTTCTAAAATCTTTCTAGATTGAAGAGAGGCCTATGGCCAACTACAGCATACGTATGTTGTTACTTCACTTTGTAAACAGTAAGCTAATCAGTAATCAAAATTAATATTGTAGACATGTGTAACCACAGAAATCGTAATAATAAGACACTTTCTGTGTGTGTAACCCAGGTACTCTGTGCCCTACGCTGTGCCTCGAAATTACGCCAACTGTGTTCACTGCGCCGGATCCTGATCTCACTTCTTCAAAATGTGTCGGCGCCAAAGACATTTAAGTAGTAGTAGTAATAGACCGGACATCAGTAGCAAAATTATCGTCTGTAACTTATGTCCTATAGGATATATCTCCGATTTTTGTCATTTAGTCTTAGTGACATCGTCAAAAAGTCAAGACGCATTCGTTTCATATATTTAAAAAATATTTTTAAAGAAAATATGCCCGGCTGTGTATTAAGATATTGTAAGTCACGATTTGGTGCAAAAAATTAACGTAATTTCGGTTTATTATCGTAAATATAACATTTATTTACCGAATAATCTTTAAATTTTATTATTTCTAGTAGATTGTTCTAGAACATTTATTTTTATTGTAATATTTAGTTACCAATTTTAAAGTTAGTGATTGACGTTTATTGATTGGTATATACCTCCACGATATAGGAGAAAATCTTAGTGTGGGGGTAATGTTTTAAAAAAAACAATTTGTACTGTTAAAGATATTAGAAAGAGCGTAAAAAGTTAATTGTTTTTTTCGTGTGATGGAAGTCATGATAAATAGATTTATACAGAAAAACAACCATGTATATTTCCTATTATTATATCGAAAAGCATTTCAAACTTAGTAATCTTCAACAACAATATTGATACTTTGCTATCGAAACGGTAACATTCCTAAAACGAGGTTATATTTATTAGCGTCACCTACTGGGGAATAGCTAAAATGTTGTCTTAATAAATGCTTAGCGTTGTTTTGCTATTTTTAGCTAGAGGGTGCCACACGCGCACTAGCTCAAAGTTTTTGTATAATATAAATGTTCCCAAGTATACCTATATATTTAAATCTCTTTGTTTATCATATTCGCTCTGTCTTTGTGCTGATCTCTCGTATGCGTAAAAGTATTCCGTGGCTCTCGCATCTCATCTTGAGATGAAGAAATTTTCATATTTGCGTCGACAGGATGCGACATGTTGGAGACATTTTAATATGTCCTCATTGCTATCACAATATAAACCTTTTTTCCAACATGAAGATCAATAGCTATTTATAAAGTTGATTTAGTTGAGTACTGTCACAGTCGTAATCACACCTCCTTCAGAAACATATTATAATAATTTACCTTTAAAAAATAATTTGACTATTAACAATATAACTCATTTACTTGACTTGGCTTTGTTTATATGAAATATGTTCTAATGTCGGTTTATATGTTTTAGGTTGGGCTTGAAAGTTATTTGCCTGAATTTGAGGATTCTCTCACTGTGGGGGGAGGGGGGTCAAGGAGGTTTATCTAAAGCACCCCTGTGCGATTGTTGCTGTCGGAGCAGCGTCGAAGTATTTTTAATATTTTTTTTAAGTATTGGTAAATCACTAACTAAACGTGAAATGGAACGTAGATTTAACTAAATGAGGGCATCTACGACTTTTTCTGCCACAAAAAAGTGCCATTTAAAAATGAGGTATAATATTTTCATAGCGGGGAAGTTACTTAATTTGTTCGGAAAACGTAAAGGATAATGTTTCTTTCTATACTATTAACTATATTTTATATTAAAAAGATTAAAAGTAAATAAACCAAACCACAAATATTCATAAAAGTAGAAAAATTTAAAAAAAGTTTAAAATATGCAAAAAATTAAAGAGTAAACCAGGCATGAGGCATTATTTTGTGTATTAATATAATACTCTAGAAACTGATAAACGTTTAGTTAAAACTAACTTCTCAATTAAACGACATTGTGTAACAAAAACTTTACATCAGTGTCAACTAGCGACATCTAGTGAGTAGAAAATTATTAGGCCTCATTCAAACGTTTTGACATGTGCTCCCTAACGTTTTTATCTGCCCCCTGTTTTTCGACGACTTTGTTAATTTCGCAAAGATCCTTTTTTAGAAATGGTGGCAGCTATAAATTAAAATAATTATAAAAGTTAATATTTGGGTGTTTTATTGAGTACAAGAGCGAGCAAAGCGAGCTCGTGACTTGGAGCTAGGGTTGCCAGATCGGAAGGCCAAAATATCTGGACAAAATTTGAAAATGTCGGGATTTTGGGGTATCGGGAGAAATAAATATGAAAAATATTTATTTCGTAAAATATTTTTTTTAAATTAATAGGCTACAAAAAGGCTTAACATTGTTGACATAAGATAACCAATTTAATTACACTTTAGGTTGTCACATGTATTTGGCATTGGATGTTACTGAGTCCCCCACTTTAGGTCCTTTAGTAGTATTCAGAAATGATTTAAAATTCAAACAATTTACTTGAAATAAGTTGAATTCAATTACTAATGATTCCTCTCTTTAGTATATAAATTAAATAGCAAACTAAACACCCATCCACCAACAACCACCAAGTGATATATTATTTTTCAAGTTTTAGGTCGTTTTCGTTATATTTTTTGAAAGATGTTCAAGTGTTTCAAAGTCAATATCGTTTGAAATATTAAGTACATATTAAGTACTACTTAATATTTAAGTATAAGTAAATATTAAGTAGTTTTTATATAGAGTTCCCAGAAAAGTATTCAATAGCCCGTTTTAAAAAATGTTCAGCTTTGACGCAAA